CTTCTACGATACTTGTTAGATACGACTTCAGATACTAACTACGATACTAGTTAGATACGGCTATCAGGTACTTCTACGTAACTAGACATATACGACTATTCAGATACTGACTACGATACTAGTAAGATTTTATATTCAATTTTCAGATAATGAATACAATACTTGTTAGATACGACTACTCAGATACTGAATACAATACTAGTTATATACAACTATTCAGAAACTGACTACAATACTAGTATAATACGACTATTCAAATATCGACTATGATACTAGTCAGATACGACTATTCAGATACTGACTATGATACTAGTGAGTACGACTATTCAGATACTGACTATGACACTAGTGAGATACGACTATTCAGATACTGACTACGATACTTGTTCGATACTTAATACGTTACTAGGTAGATATTGACTACAATACTAGTATGATTCTATTCAGACACTGACTACATAATTAGTTAGATACTATTCAGATACTAACTACGTTACTAGTCAGGTTCGACTATTGAGATATTGACTACGATACTAGTAAAATACGACTATTCAGATACTGACAACGATACAAGTAAAATACGACTATTCAGATACTGACTACGATATTTGTTCGATACGAATATTCAGATACTGAATGCGATACTAGTCAGATACGACTACTTTACTTTTCAGATGCGAATAATCAGATACTGTCTATGACACTAGTCAGATACGACGATTCAGATACTGATTATGATACTTGTTAGACACGACTATTTAGATACTGTTTATGATACTAGTCAGATACGACTATTCAGATACTGACTACAATACTTGTTAGATATGACTATTCAGATACAGACTACGGTACTAGTTAGATACGACTATTCAGATACTGGCTACGATACTAGTCAGATACGACTATTCAGATACTAACTACGATACTTGTTAGATACGACTATTCAGATAATGACTACAGTACTTGTTAGATACGACTATTCAGATACTGGTTACGATACTTGTCATATACGACTATTCAGATACTAACTACGATACTTGTTAGATACGACTATTCAGATACCTCTACGATACTTGTTAGATACGACTATTCAGATACTAACTACGATACTTGTTAGGTACGACTATTCAGATACTTCTACGATACTTGTTAGATACGACTATTCAGATACTAACTACGATACTAGTCAGATACGACTATTCAGATACTAACTACGATACTTGTTAGATACGACTATTCAGATAATGACTAAAGTACTTGTTAGATACTACTATTCAGATACTGGCTACGATACTAGTTAGATACGACTATTCAGATACTAACTACGATACTTGTTAGATGCGACTATTCAGATACTAACTACGATACTTGTTAGGTACGACTATTCAGATACTTCTACGATACTTGTTAGATACGACTGTTCAGATACTAACTACGATACTAGTCAGATACGACTATTCAGATACTAACTACGATACTTGTTAGATACGACTATTTAAATAATGACTACAGTACTTGTTAGATACTACTATTCAGATACTGGCTACGATACTTGTTAGATACGACTATTCAGATACTTCTACGATACTTGTTAAATACGACTATTCATACACTTCTACGATAATTGTTAGATATGACTTCAGCTACTAACTACGATACTAGTTAGATACGGCTATTCAGGTACTTCTACGTAACTAGTCATATACGACTATTCAGATACTGACTACGTTACTAGTAAGATTTGATACTCAATATTCAGATAATGAATACAATACTTGTCAGATACGACTACTCAGATACTGAATACAATACTAGTTATATACAACTATTCAGAAACTGGCTACAATACCTGTATAATACGACTATTCAAATATCGACTATGATACTAGTCAGATACGACTATTCAGATACTGACTATGATACTAGTGAGATACGACTATTCAGATACTGACTATGACACTAGTCAGATAGGATTATTCAGATACTGACTACGATACTTGTTCGATACGAATATTCAAATACTTAATACGTTACTAGGTAGATATTGACTACAATACTAGTATGATTATATTCAGACACTGACTACATAATTAGTTAGATACTATTCAGATACTACCTACGTTACTAGTCAGGTTCGACTATTCAGATATTGACTACGATACTAGTAAAATACGACTATTAAGATACTGACAATGATACAAGTAAAATACGACTATTCAGATACTGAATGCGATACTAGTCAGATACGACTACTTTACTTTTCAGATGCGAATAATCAGAGAATGTCTATGACACTAGTCAGATACGACTATTCAGATACTGATTATGGTACTTGTTAGACACGACTATTTAGATACTGTTTATGATACTTGTTAGATATGACTATTTAAATACAGACTACGATACTAGTTAGATACGACTATTCAGATAATAACTACGTTACTAGTCAGACACGACTACTTTACCTTTCAGATGCGAATAATCAGATACAGTCTATGACACTAGTCAGATACGACTATTCAGCTACTTTTACGATACTAGTTAGACACGACTATTCAGATATTGACTACAATACTTGTTAGATAAGACTATTCAGATATAGATTACGATACTAGTTAGATACAACTATTCAGATACTGACTATAATATTTGTTAGATACGACTATTCAGATACTAACTACCATACTAGTTAGATACGATTATCCAGATACTGACTACGATACTAGTTAGGTAGGACTATTCAGATACTGACTATGCTACAAGTAAAATACGACTATTCAGATACTGACTACGATATTTGTTCGATACGAATACTCAGATACTGAATACGATACTAGTTAGATACGACTATTCAGATAATGACTACGTTACTAGTCAGACACGACTACTTTACTTTTCAGATGCGAATAATCAGATACTGTCTATGACACTAGTCAGATACGACTATTCAGATACTGACTACGATATTTGTTCGATACGAATATTCAGATACCGAATACGATACTAGTCAGATACGACTATTCAGATACTGACTACGATACTAGTTAGATACGACTTTTCAGATACTGACTACGATATTTGTTCGATACGAATATTCAAATACTGAATACGATACTAGTCAGATACGACTATTCATATACTGACTACGATACTAGTTACATACGACTATTTAGTTACTGTTTATGATACTAGTAAAATACGACTATCCGA